TACCCAGTCAACGATCATAGGATTTCTTACACTGAGCCATTGATCCACGTCGCCTGCTGCCCACGCATCTCGAGTCCTCTGGAGAAGTTCTCCACGACATAGATGGTCATAACTTGGACAACATACAGAGCATTTCGAAAACCAGATATGTAGCAGTACATAGAGAACGGAAAGCGTGGTAGAGCGATAAAACTGATAAGAAGTCCCTGGTACACCAGCCGACACGGGGCCTGTGCATATTGTACTGAGTACTGAGGACGTGTCAACGTCAGGACAGACTCACTTGCGTGCAGCTTTCAACAGCGCAGTTAGTATTATTGACTATGCTGCATCGTTCGATCACTCACTAGGCTATCCTACCAACTCCAATCTGGATCCAAAGGATGCGGCACGGAGGGGATGTTATTTGGTATGAGATTTGTCGGAGTGGTCCCGAACAGATGAGGAGAAAGTTGACCCCCAAGCCGCAGTAGATCAGTGGCGATCATTGTCTGATCTTGGATGCGGAACATCTCGATGGCTGTGACGGCTGTCGAGAAGATACCAATGGGCTCAATTGAGCGCAAACTACACATGTCCATGAAGACCCTGAGACCGCTGGCCTGAGGGTGATTGTATACGGAGTATTGGACATGGATATATCCACGCCGTATGAGCTGCTTCTTGATCCTAGCATATATGGTCCCTGCCACAACAAATTGTTATACATCCGGTGATGCTAATGACACCAATCAGGATGAGCTCACCACGGCGGACCCCCCATCCGTCCGGGGGCGGTTCTTGCATGACTCTCGTTCGCAGATCAAAGGTGATGCCCCAATGATCCACAGGGGCGAGTAGAAGGAACATCGCAGGTGGCAGTGCTAAGAGTGACCATAACTTCAGAGTGTGTCGCATCTCAACTGTCAGCACGTACTCACCCATGGGCAAAGGGTGGACATTGGGGCCGGGTCCGCCGGGAGGTGGAGGCATTTGGTCAGATCGACGTGGTCGCGGGTGCAAAAAACAGCCAGAGCAACGAGGCCCTTTGCCTTCCCTTCCCATGATTATATAGAATTTCCGGCAACAGATACTACCCGCCAAATCCCTGCAGGCCACGACGACAAAGCCTGACTCTTTGGGTCGACTTCTAGTGTTATTTGGTTCCATACCTATGCAACACCTTCTAGCCTGTCAGTACGCGAGCTGCCTTGTGAACCAGTGTGCCGTGCAGGTCCGAGGGGCGGTGCCGTTGTGATGCCACCTGACAATGCAAGCTGTAACTCACCATGCGGTGTCCTCACTAACGATCAGAATCCGATATCAGCATACATCCCGTCGTAGCGATCACGGACCTCCTTCGACTTAAGTACCTGCTGTACCTTTTCCTCAGGTGTTTCAACTCTTCAAGGATACATTTTTGACAGCGAAGCCTGGGACCGCCGCCTGGCATACTGGAAGAAATGATGATTAGGCCGTGCGGTCAAGACAAGGATCAAGGTTTTCGCAGAACGATTGGAGGCAGAGAATACTTATCGAATAGAAGCTGTGCGAAGTTCTGGTGCTTCGTGACACTGAAACCTGGTGGTTCGGTCAAGCACGTCCCGCGTGGCGCATGTAGATGGCAGTACACCTGGCCGAGATCATAGAACAAGAACAATTGAGGCTTGGCAAGGCTGTTGCCCGGGAGTCTTGCACGCTCGATTTAGGCCTCCTAGTCTTGCGGAGGTTCCTTTGTGCCCTGGCAGATGGCATGAACGAGAGATGGAAGATTAGATCGGGCAGGCTCACCAAGGCTAGTAGGTATTGCGATGCATGGTGAGATCCTGTTGAACGTTCAAACGTTCAAGTTCAATACATGGGCTCGAGATGGCGTCTGTCTACTAGCAGATTTGAGGGACGTGCCACAGTGTCATGGGTGACAATTAATGACAGGTTCCTATGTCGAAGATCATTCGCATTCTCGCTGGTCTTGTGAGTGCATCAGTAATGGTAGCTACAGATAGAGAGTCTGAGTAACTTAACTTACATGCGTATGTAAGTACTCTAAGTACAACGTTACGCGCTCTCGGTACCGTCGGCGTGGAGGCAGCATTGCATCAGCCGATTCAGCGCTTATGGGCACGCCGGGGCCCGGCCCGAGATAACCAAGAAGTAGGTACATATCATGTGACATGGATATCTACGCGTTATCTACGCCCTATGTACTAAATATATAAGGGTTGCGCTCGATCGTAACTTATTCTTGAGCAGCTCCCATCCTCACTCGGCGCTAACCGGAACCGCCAACTCACGCGTCGCTTTCCGCGTCCACAACGTACCCGATACATTTCCACTGTCTGCACCGTTGCTCACTTTATGCCTGCGTCGCGTCGAGCATCGCATCGAGCGTCTCAACCCGCAACGCGCTCTGCGCCACTCACCGCGCGATCCTCCGTATCTCGCGCCATGGCGCGTCAAGCATCGCAGGCTGAGCAGGAGAAACGACTATCTGACCAACTCGTCAGATACGGGTGCCTCTGGGAAGAGCACGCCCATTATATCCGTCTCAGAGAGAAGACGCCGGAGGGGTTCGCTTCGTCTTACACACGGGCTCTGGATCGTTGGGTCAAGGACCCAGAGTTCTCGCGGTGGCGACGTATGAAGAACTACGCTGAAGAAAGGGACGGCTGCATCGATTGGATAGAGGGGGTGATCAGATCACACTGCAAACCGGACTCAGAGATGACGACTGAAGAGTGAGTTGTAGTTGTTGCATCCAGTTGGTCTTCGTCGTTCAGCGCTCATGTTCTTCGCCACAGTCATTGGATCGTCACGTTCGCCGCTTTCGGCGTATCAGACCTGTTGAACTGCAATGAGCCGTGCATGAGGGACCTGGATGTGATTGGCAGGCTGCAACCCACTATCACCCGGAAGCTGTATGTATCTCAAGTCGGCCTTCCTGCGCACATATCTCACAAGCGTGTACAGCGTTAATTGTGCTCAGGCCTACCAAGACTCCGAGTCCGATTTCCTCAACCATCCAGCTCGTCCCAGGTCAAGGGACACCGCTTCAAAGCCAAAGCTGTTCCCGAACATCGGTGACAGTTCCTTGCTCGGAACCACATTCGAGTACAAGACCCCCACAATGCCCCGCGCCCGCACTTGCATGGTCACCAGCGTAGTGACCTCGATTGACGACGGTGTCGAGTATATTATCAAGCATCTAACTGCGAAGGACCCGGATGGTGAACGGGCGAGGAAGGTGACACTGTCTGAGGACAAGTTCCGGGAGATCTACGCTGCTCGGGTGGAGTGATGGACAATTAGATTTTGGTCTGGGCTTACTGTCTGTAATGTTTCTCCGTTTTGCTGTCGCGCTATCCTGCTATGTTCCTTGTACTCAACGTCCACCACTAACACGTTGTATTATCTCCTCCATAATTCCGATAATCATCGTCTGCGCTGTAGATCGCGTCGCCCCCATATCTCAGGGAATAATGGCATTGCCTCGCCAAGATCATGTATACATGAAAATTAGCTGCGTGTTACAGCCACGTAATCCACTCGCGATCCTCAGCATTTGCCGTACAGTACTAGCCACGCGCGATCTGGCCGTGTGTCTGGCCAGGAAGTCTTCGTTGGCCCCATCAAGACTCCACAGTAGTCAGGTCTTTGGTCCCAGGGATATCTACTGTACTGGCGGCATCGCACGTCACGCATTCATGTTGCGGAAGACGGGTGTATTGCGCTGTACACTATGCATAACCCACCAATCATCGCGACACTACATACAAGTCAGCCGAGTGTGGCGCACAAGCATTAAGAGACATACTCAATCGGAAGACCTGAATGCGACGTGCGAAATAGTTGAATGGCAAGAACAGCTACCGAAGAGCTCTGCGTAAAGGAGTAAGTCGATTATAGGAGACCACTATCGGTATGTTCAAACATACCATTTGATGGTGCGCATTAGATATTCGTAACGTCGTACAAAGTCGTTTCATGAAATTAGAGGGCAACACAGGAAAATGGAAGTCGTTATGCGCAAGGACAGTCATCAACGACTTACGCCCCATCGCCCGACCCACTACTCCCCACGACGATCGCGCCAACCATCGTGTGCGCCCTTGGCACAGGGGTTATGTATATTCACGCGCGGAAGACTTCGCGGAAGGATCAGACACGTAGAGCTTCTCGCTGTGCGGAGGGGGGTGTGGGACAATGTCTGAGGAGCAGGACGCTTGAGGCAAGTGTATCTGTGAGGTGGGAAGCAGCTGCTGGCGCGTCCGGCCGTCCGGGAGACAGGGCGCCATGAAGAGCGAGCCGTCGATGAAGGGGGGGATGCTCCGCAGAAAGACATACCCCCAGATGAGGAACGTCAGTGCTGATGACATTGGCGCAGTCAGTTCCATGCATGGGCACTGATGTGACGGAGCTTACCGGACCAGAGCGAACCTACGATCCTGAAGAATGGGCTCTGCAATACTCTTGACAGCTCGATGGTCAGCATCGCAAAGACGCCATTCGGGAAAATCATGCCCCAGTAACCCATGTTGAATGAGATCCTGGTCCGGCGCACCACGACAACATGGTAGATCGAGCACACCGCAACGACTACCCATGCGATGCCGATGGCCCACAGCGCGTACGCCGCGCAGAAGCACACTGCGAAAATCATCTGGCCCATGAGCGCGGACTCCGGGAACCCCGAGCCAATGTGCAGCGGGAGGAGCTCGGAGATGTTCGTGCCGTTGATGAGCAGGGAGAAGCCACCCTGTCCGAGCGGACCGAGGACGATGAACGCGGAGAGGATCAGGCCTGGGTCAGGCACGCTGTGGACTATGAGGCGGAGGAGGTAGATCGTGATCATCATGAGGGCAAAAGAGACCCCCATCGCGACCATAACGAAGGAGAAGGCTGTCGAGACCAATGCGAGGGTATGGGAGTGCGGGGTAAGAGCAGCCGCCAGTAGACCACCTGTAGACGACGCGACGACCAGAGTGACCACGGGCAGAAGCCATACGGCTGCCATATTCGAAAGTGAGTGCTCATGCCGGACGGTCCTGATGCATCGGGTAAGCCGACCTCGGCGTAGATGCGCGAGTGCCGTACGTACATTGTGTAAAGCATTCCGAATGCGATGAGATAGGAGATGGCAGAGTCAAGCCACCAGCAGCCCCATAACACATACAAGAAGCCCTTGCCTCCGAAACCCCAGTTCTGGTTCAGTGCCTTGAATAGTATTGTTCAATCAAATTCTAGGATACGGAGCACAAGGTTGCTCACCAGGGCAGAGTTGATTAATGTCGTGATACCCATGGGGAAGCAGCCGATGTAAAGGCTTTGTGACGTGTGGCCGAGCATTAGCCAGAACATCTGGAGAGGATTCAGAACAAGTACACAGAGATGGACGAGGGCTAACCTCTGGATACATGACATATCGTAGCAGAGAACAAGCACATGCGAAGATGAATATGGCAAGATTGAGAATGAACCAGACACAGCCAGCGATCTTGAAGTTGTCATTATCTTGCCCGTACGGAAAGTTGTTCAGCAGGGCTGACACAGCACCAGTGCCCATGACTACTGCGAACCATATTGGTGTAAAGTGTCTGACGTTTATTTGGATGAGCTTCAGCACGAAGGGATATGTGACTTATACCAAGACGCGTGACATACCGAATGCGGTCTGGCCATGTCTTCCAAAGTTTTCGAGGGAGAAGCAGAGGCGTTGGTCCTGGATGAGATGTTTGGCAAGATGACATCAGGGCGAGAGGCGATGTTCGAGAGACTTGCCAATTACACAATAGCGTCACGGTATGAGGAAGTCCGTCGATGCTGGACTGTGGCGAGCAGCAACTTTATACGTGGTATTTGAGGCCGCGCCGAGTGACGATTCAGCGAAGCACGGGCTGAAAAATGCATGCACATCTTCTCGCACGGCCATGAGCAAAGAATGGCCAAGTGCACCGTCATCCCTGCGCGCCAAACCCACATTCCGAATTCGCATCGCCCCCCCGCGGTCTAGCCAATCACCGTCCACGCTTCCTTCCTGCCATTCTGGGAAACCCCCTACTCACTACACTGATATCATGCGTCCTCCCGATGCGACCAACTGCAGAGCCGTGGTCTGTACACATTCGGGACTGAAGACGATGGGCGACTGAACTCTCCATGAAATGCCTCCTGCGTCGGCTTCTCGCTGTTATTCGGAATTGGAACATATGACTCACGTCACTGCAGCCTGAGCTTCACCTATATTCGGAATTCGCGGTCAGTAGGTCGCCTGTGGCTTCAGACTTGCACAAGATGTCTCGCAAGGATCATGACACAGGATTAGGAACCCACAGCAACCGCCTGCGTCCTGATGCATATGACGCTGGCAGTCAGTAGCCTTTCGGCGTGGACGCAGAAACCCCGGCAACAGACAGCGATGAACAAGTCAATGATCCAACACCTCATGTGCGAGCCAGTGATTTGTCCGGTGTCGACGATAGATCATAGTTACTAACAGAGGCCCAACTTCCCCGTCACTACCGGTCGCAGAAAGTGGAACTTGGCGACAATGTGAAGGTAGAACACACGAGCGGTCCGCGGCGAATGTACCGGGCAGACACGACACGCACATCCTTCGGGCTTTTACGCATATGGAGACGACCCTACATGCCGGCCACATTGCATGCCTATTCGCGTATATTCTGCGCCCACGAATGAGAGGACTGCGGTTATGAGTCCACTCCTTCCCTCAATGCCACTCCGACGGCCGTCTTAGGAAATCCACCACATCAAATGGCATTACCAACGCGCTCTCTTTCACTGGACGGAGGCCGACCAATAACATCTCTCCGAATACCGAATACAACATCACGGTGGTCGGATCATGAACGCGTGTGCAACCTACGAGCCCTATAAGAGGAGCGCATGCGCACCGTAGACCACAGCACGACTACACAACCCACTCATCCCTCGACAACTCCTCTATTCGCATACCAATCACAATGTCTGTGAGTATCACTTCAAGTCCTGGATCAGAGGGACAATGACTGAACAATGTGACAGGACAAGGCCACCTGCGCTAACGTCCAGGCCAACGGCGGCTCCTGCACCTACCCCGCGTGTGGCTGCGCCGAGCCCCCGAAGAGCAAGTAGACGTCCCTCGGGTACTCGTCACGTAGAGAGCAGGTCAGCGTTCCTTCCAGTGGTGGCTTGAAGCAGTCGGAAGCTGATGAGGTCGACATCTACAGTGGCTCGGACATGAAACCGACTCTGCGGAGCTTGCCTTAGTCGTAGCGAGCGGAATAGCGTTGAATTGTGCCCACTGTTGACCTACACACTTCGCTGATCGAGATGACATACCGATGCGTTTGACATTCCCGTGACGAATTGAGGAACAGAAAGCCGAAGTCGACTCGGAGTGACGAAACAATGAGTTGAAATGGCGCCGTCTCGGTCTCAGAACAGTTAGGCCGTCAGCACACGGAAAGGAGGACGGCTTGAGCATGAATATTCAGGATGGCTGGCAGTTGGAGGCGTTGTTTGCGGGAGACGTTTCCTAAATCAAAGTGAAGTCGGGCGCCCGCACGTGTACACTGAACGCTCTGGCTCAAACGAAGTATGTTATTGCATGCCACAACACATTTTTGCATCAGTGCATGGGTAATATCAGGTACCTTACACCTCCTAGTAGCATACAACACGGTGTAATGCGACAGAGAAAGGCTCCCCGATCTACGACAAGTCCGCGAAGCCAACGGAATTCTGATCAAAGGAGAACACCGAATAGACGTTCTTCATGAAACTGTCACCGAGCAGCCAAACATCGTCTCCGAGACCCATATCTTGGCCTGCAAGAGCACCGACGCAGTAGTTGGACGTGGGCGAGGTCTGGCGGAGGTTGAAGCTAAGAACTATAGTCAGCATATTGTTTGAGAGGGCTACGCTGGATGGCTTACTTTTCGGCACTGACTGTCCAGTCCTTTCCTCCCCAGTTGAAAGAAACGGCAGGGACAGAATCGCATGGGAACTGATAGAAGCCGTTATCGGAGTCGAACATGGATGCTCCGGGCACGGACTCGTAGAATGAGGCCACAGCGCTCGGGGGGCCGTACATGATAGTCGTGCCACTATCAATGACCTATCCACCGAGCCACGTAAGATCAGGTATATTGATAATGGACGGTCTGCGTACAGTTTGGAACCCCGTATTGGTAGTCTTGCCGTTCACGATGGCCTTCGCGTCCGATATCTGCCAGTATCCGGAGCCGGACACGGGATGGTACTCGATGGCCCCGTTATATTGTGACGTGTCGGTTCCTCCCAAGTATAGTTCGGAGCCCGCGCTCGAAAGCTTCATACCGAAGACAGCATTCTTGATGCTGCCCTGCGTCTTCGCTTGGTTCACGAAGGGGGGCTGCCCGATACTGGACAATTTTTGGTACCCCATGCCCAGGATGCCGTCAATGGGGTCTGGCTTGAACTTGTCCGACAGTGTGGTGACAGCTGAGAAGTATTGGCCATTTGATTGGATACCTGCGACCGTGACTAAGAAATGTGAGTGGACTGTTCTGGACGTCTGGATAAAACCCAAACACACCAGTATCCGTATATACAGGCCCTGAACCTGTGGATCCATCCCCATAATGAATGGAGAAAGATCCTTCCTTGCGTTGAGAAGTCGATGACGGTACGGCGAGATATTTGTTCTTGGTATCGCATGCGGCACTCGTGCAGTTCGAGGAAGGGACCCAAAGATCCGCCGAACCAGCTGCAAGCCTCAGTCAGCCGGCGGAAAATATATACCGTGGACACAATATAGACGTACTGTCGAAGTCAATCAAGAAATTGGTTCCGGGAGTTCCGATGGAGATGGAACCAGCCCATTCAAGATCACTATTTTCGTCGACGGTAGTTTCCTTCTGGCGCTTTTCGTGAGATCCAGGAGCCTCGTAGGCTCGAATGGGTTTGATGGATGCACCCTAAACAAGAGCGAAGTGAGCAGTTTGACAGCACCTATCTCCCAAGTGACGTACCTCGTTCATACTGTCAGGGTCATTTTGCTGGAGGTTGATGATGTTCTGACGATGTTTGCTGTGTGCAAGGAATCGATTAGCTGAATCACACAAGACATATATTCGAGGTGCGTACTTGTGGGTGCGAACCGTGCTCAGGATGGCGTTCTCATGATCGAAGACACCATCCGATGTGGCGAGCCCGCTTCGCTTAGCGAAGGGAATGACGGTGCCCTGCTCCCGGTCAACGGGAGTTGTAGAGCCAAGGAGTGCGAGAGTGACCATAACAACGAGTGTAGACTTCGAGAACATCCTGTCAAAGGATTGTTGGGGGTAGACGCGGAGTAGTCAGGTGTCGGTGTACTGAGATTGGATGACACTCGTCGAATTCGTCCCTGTATTTATGCATACTCGGAAGAGCAGTCAGTAGGTCGGAAACGGCACATTCGAGCGCTATGAAATGATCCATAACGGAAACACGGATATGGAAGCGTCTATGCGTCCTTAGTCCGTCGCACGGCTTGCGACTCGGATGGCATCCGTGTCCGATTACGATCTAGACTGGCGCACTCCAAGATGTCCGAACACTTGCTGCGATGCTATCCAAAAGATATGTGAACAAGATATGGAGCATTATAGCTGCGAAACGAATAACTAAACCTGCTGTGATACTCAGTCCGGACGATCTGGAGGCAGAGACATTAGCGGGCATTCGAACCACACGTCAACACAGCCGTCGCAGATCTTGCCCAAATTCAGCGTATCGAGTACTGGTGTGGAGAGGAAAGCGGATGACACGAGTGCGGAAGGCGGATAACGGAAGCAGGAGCCTTGCACGCCCCAAACACGGGCGGGGAACTCGCCTTCGGCTTGCCCGGGTTGAAGTAGCAGTGTCACATGACCGCGTCATGACGGCCCTCTGGGCTCGCTCCTGAAATAGTTTAGCACATTAAATATGTTACAGTCGGCCAGACAGTGTCTATGAGTGTATTGTCAAAACCATCTTACACCCTGTCAACACGCTAGCCTCTCGTCTTTGGCTTTTTCGTGCCTTCGTCCGAGTCGTGAACTGTCTTGTCTTGACTCTCGCTGGCAGGAGCAATTGTGTCATCCGCTGCCGCCGCCACAGCCGGCCCTGGATCGACACCACTCGCGGGAGTTTCTGTCTTGCCTTCGTCAGTCTTCGGTTTCTCCGCTTCGTCGGACCATGCCCATGCATGTGTAAAGTCACCCTGGGCGAATGCAGTTACGAAGAAAGAGATCATGCATGCAGGGCTGAGACGAATCGTCAGTATGATGCTGATAAACAATGCCGCTATTGAAGCTCGCCTTAGGTACAGCAAAGCCGGTTGTGCATGCCCAAAGAAATGCATGACTCCCATAGTCGTCATGAGACCGGTGACGTACGCCAATAGACCAGCGTAGAAGTACGGTTTGCTGAATGACGAGCCTTGGACCGCCTTGTCTGATCTGTGATAGTCGTAGCGCAGAGCTAGAGCGATAAACATTCCAGGTACAACGATGTCGCCTAGACCGAGCATGGTAAAACCGCGCTCAGTGGAGAAAATGAGAGACTTGGGCCAGAGAATCTTGATCGGAACGTCGAGTGTGGTTGCCACCGCGACCATCTACCAATGTAGAGAAGACGTGAGCTAATGTAAACATGTCTGCGCGGTCCCAGCGATGGATATGTTTGCTCACCACATCAGTCCCAAACACCCACCAGATATCGTATAGGAATAGTCCAGAGAGGAGCACGCATCCCGTCTGAAAGGAGTCTATCTTCATGAGCGAAATCGCGTTATGCGCGAACGAGAGGGCCAGGATGTCCGTCAGTAGGCCGGACCTGCGAGTCGTACCCGGGCCGAAGTTATACACGATAGATGGAAGTGCACCGAGAGGGATAAGAATAAACGACGGGGTGCGCAGCGAGAACGAGACGAGCTCTGTAGAGGGTCAAGCAACGCCTAAGTCAGAATGGCTATGAACTGACCTCGCCTGCCCTTGAGACAAAGGAATTGAACTCGCTCGAGTTTTCGCCATCTTCCTTTCCCTATTGTCCATCTTGCGAGCGAAACAAGTGACTACGGGACCCATAAACGCAATGCGGGCGCAAAATACGGAGAGGTGTGCACACCTTGCCCACACTGCCAATGCCCGCAAATGTGAAATACCATTGAAGCAGCCAGTTTATCCACTCCTTCCCAAAATGTTTCACCACGAGATATAGACAAAAGAGTACCACCGACCCGATCTGAAATGGGTTGAGACACTTCAATGCAGTGGACGTCGAAAGGCGCGCCACTCACAACGGGAAACAAGTATGCATCCTGCGACGTCAGACGATCAGGTATCTCTTCCTCGTCTTCCTCCTCGTCTACGGCTGTTGCTCCCTTTTCTTGCGGATGTTTTCGCAACTTACCGACGAGTCAAGCGGTCAATTGCGGCACGGCCGGAAAGAGACTCACTGTCACAGATCCGAGTGAACCAGCGTAAATAGACAGTGTCGCTAGACTCAAGAGTCCTGCATATGAGGATATGAGGTCCCAATCCGTCTCGGCGGACATGGTAAGAGGGCAGGAATCAGTGCGTTTGTGGCAGCGCGGTCACGGTGTCCTGGGTTAGCGCCGCCTTGATGATCGAAACGTGGCAGGCCACACTGCCGCCACAGACAGCCGAAGAGGGAAGGCCGCCTGCCTTTCTGGTGCCGCCTGCCACGTCAACTCTCCTAAAGTCCGGTGTCACATCACTAGAGAGACATCGACACCTAGGTTTTCCTTGGACTTCAAGTGCCTTTGCGCAGGCAGTACAGACCACATGCACAAACTCCTATATGACGACCGTAAGCCGAAGACATGAGTTCTAGTACATACTATAGTCCCAGCTAGGTCGAATTCTGCTCGTATCTTCTCGATCCCGTCGCCCATTTTCAAACTCGCGCTTGTTCAGCGAATGACACCCTTCATACACTTCCTACAGGAGTAATAGATGACAATGCCTTGAATGATGTCCTCGTGCCTCCAGATTTTATTATTGACTGTGCTAACGCATCGAGCTCGAAAGTGTAGGCTTAACATTATCAGAGTGGCTTAACGCCTCCGAAATGTGGGTCGTCACTTGATGATCCCGAACATGTAGTGAATTTCCCGGTTATGCTAAGTTAGTAGTCGCAACGCTGGCACGGGGGCCATGCCGCGACGGCTCCAAGCAGTCGCATCCGGAAACGGACGCGGATGCAGCACTTACACCACTTCCGCTATACCACAGGATAACTTTGCATCCGCTGCCGATATTCGATCATCCCGCTGCTCTGGCCCATCCGAACCGCCATTCACATCATGGCATCCGCACCTCCGTGGCTTCTGACCAAAGGTATATAAACCGTGCCAGACTTTGGTGAGTAACGCATCATTCGTCTAAGCACACACACTGCATCCTTGCAACTTACCACTTCATCGCATCATGTTCCGCAAAGCCGCTCTCTTCTCAACCGTTTTCCTCGCGGTATTGAGCTGCGCGACGCCCTTCGAGCGCCGCACGGGGACTTCGATCGCTTTTGCCAAGCGCAGTGGTCTTACCACCGAAGATGGCGTCTTCGACCATGAAGCTGCTATTCAAAGTGCAATCAACACCCATAAGTGAGTAGACTCCGGATGTAAGGAAGCTCGTCTGACCCACATCATGGACAGTAAGCACCGGCAGAATATGATCAATCTGCAGAACAACGATCCTGACAGCATGAATGAGGTACGTTCATCGTGTATTTCCCGGACAACAAGCTAACAATACTACAGGGCGCCGAAGTCAAGCCGCTCCGACTGCACAATGCGACGACGTCCCATCACCAGAAGCGTCAGAAGGAACCAACAACCGACGAAGAGAGTGACCTAGAGTGGGCCGGATACATCTCCATCGGTACTCCGGCGCAGAAGTTCTTGATTGATTTCGACAGTGAGTAATCTGCTCCCAATCTTATTGCCAACATAAAATTCATGCAATATCCAGCCGGCTCTTCCGACCTCTGGGTGCCATCTTCGTCTTGCACGAGTTCCGTGTGCACATCGAAGGACAAGTACACCGCCGGATCGTCGTCGACTTCGGCACAGAAGTCGGGGACTTTTACGATCAATTACGGCGACGGTTCATCCGTCTCTGGCCCCGTTTACACGGATACTGGTATGTACCGTACACACGGTTCATCACCCAGAGCTAATCCGTCATGTCAGTGGCCGTCGCTGGAATCACGTCGACAGCACAGTACTTCTCGCCAGTGACGACGCTTTCGAGCAGCTTCTCTGGCGATCCGATCGATGGCATCCTTGGTATGGCATACCAGAGCATCTCGAGTCTTCAGCGTCCCCCGTTCGTGAACCAAGCGAAGACCCAGGGCAAAATCACGAGCTCCGTATTCGGAATGAAGCTTGCCAGCTCTGGCTCAGAGCTTTACATCGGTGGAACGGACACATCGCTGTACAAGGGCTCGCCCGAGTATCACACGGTCACTGGGTCAGGCTACTGGCAGATCTCGGGGGCGAAGACCTTGGTCAACAACAAGGTCGTCAACACCGGTTTCCAGACCGTGAGTGTTTCTTTTTCAGCATTATTGTTCAGCGTTCCTTATGGGCATTCCTATAGATTATCGACAGCGGGACAACGATCATGTACGGCCCCCCGAGCGCAGTGCAGCAGTTCTACAAGTCCATCTCAGGCTCATCGGTATATGACTCGCAGAACGGTTACTACCAGTTCCCTTGTAACAATATCCCAACCGTAGCCTTCAGCTGGGGCGGCAAGAGCTGGACAGTCAGCGCTGCGAAGTAAGTGAACCTTCGAAATAGCACGGCGTATTCTCATCGTCGAACTTTGCAGCTTCAACCTCGGAAAGGTTTCCAGCACGTCGAAGAACTGTGTCGGTGCTCTCGCCGGGCAAAACCTTGGTCTGGGGTCCAACGTCTGGCTGCTAGGCGACAGCTTCATGAAGAACGTTTACACCGTCTTCTCCTTCGATCAGAATGCTGTCGGCTTTGCCACTCTCTCCTAGAGTATCTTGATCGTCGCCTGAACCGGTCTAGAATTGTGTCGTGTCAGTATTTGCGGATGTATGTACGCTAGGGTGCCACATAGTAAATGGATTTCCTTACATTGTTTAGTGATCCTGACCACAAAAGTACTCACACCCATCATCAAAAGATCTTTTAGGCACAAGCCGTTTCTGGAAGGTAACGACAAGTTGGGGAACTCTTGAGTCCTTCACTTTGACTTGTTGGATGTAACTTGGAGTAACAGTCTCCGATTCGGCAGCTTCGGGTCGGTTTGTAGTTCGTTTGCAAGAAGGTCCATCAGACTGAAAGCACCAAGCAACAACTCGCTACGAACCTGTGGCTCCGCCGATTCGGGTGAAGACCATTGTCAAAAAACAAGTCAGTAGCATGTCACCTTAGCAATTGAGCGTGCAGTTGCTCTTTATAGAGCCCAGCGCAGCCGCACACGGAGCCGCCCGAGTTCGCCTCATCCAAGAATGGCGTACGTTTTACTGAGAGGATGAAATCGCATCAGGTTCCTCAGTCAAGCACCACATCGAACCTTCTGTAGTATACAAACCACAATGTTTGCTCGCAATCGCATCTATGTACATAGGTATCTACTTAGTCATGAAGACAGAAGTTGTTGTGATCCTGTGTCGAAAATATCCCTTTCGCTCCTTGTCGACAATGGGCCAGTCATTGGAGGGGGTTTATTGAACGGTGCGCACGCTTCCGGTCACGCAAGTCGAGTATGGGGTAAAGTCCGGAGCACGTAGTAGACGGCCTGCCATACCAAGGTCTGTGGCGTACTAAGTCAAATCCATCCACAAAACAGCTGATGTACCTACATACAGAAGTTGTACCAGCGCGCTGGACGTGTCCGTTATTCTTCGCAGTACCTCCCCGTCTTCGCGGCACATCCTCGTGGGCATCTGCTAAAAGAGTCGGTCGTCCACATATGGGTGATCGCGCATCCATACTTCTTGCTTCATCACTTCTTGCTTCATCATGATGACATGCTAACCTCGACGATACGATCTCAGTCTGCCGCACCTCAATCTCGGTCGTCGTGCACCTCATCAGGTTCCGTCGCTAACAGCAACGCTAGCTCAATCCGACCATCGCAGATCATTATATATATAAAAGCCCTGTATCACAAACATGTACAAGACCGAAGATCACGCACCGAAGCTCTCAGCCTCAGAACCTCCTCAGGACGCTGAGCCGCTGCGCATCAGCTGGAATACCCTCGATCAACGGGACGAAATCCGCCGGAACCGCAGAGGCAGCTAATAACGTCGTGCACAGGCAGATGCGAACAATCATGAGACACATAGCAACCCACTATACGGTAGCTCACAATGACAAGTTGAGGAGACTCTCGTAAACTCCACTTTCGCCGACGCCAGAACGCCAGAACGCCCGAGGACACCACAGTCAAGTCCGGCCGCTCGTACGGCAGAGCTGGTGAAGCGCTCTAGTGGCCCATCACTCCCATTGAAATGCACGGCTGTCCTTGTGCCTCGTTGTGAACATCCCGCGCTGTCCACTTTGATCCATGCGACGTCCTGGTCGTCAGGTAAAACTCCGCGCGATTCAGATGTCGGACTCATCACATGGAGGACGGTTCCCGCATTCATTGAGCCCAGATCACATGCGAGCCAAAGTGAATGCGCATCCCGCGTTCTCACTGAGACATAAGGGAATGAAATAGGGAAGCATTGGAGAAGCGTACCCACTTGGCAAGATGGCACCACCAACGTGCATCAACCATCTCGACCCAGTAAGAGACGCCCTCCGACGCCCGGTCGGCCCTGGAGGTCAGACCAAGTGAAGGGACTACCGAGACGCACCCACGCAAGCAGCACGCAACTCTCCCATCGCTATCCTCGAGCCATGCGCAGACGTGAGACGGCCCCTAGTCGGGCCGAAGTCCACAGAGAGAAACTCAGAGAGAGCGGATGTGGCGCCGCTGCGAAATCTGAGAACCGCTCGGATCTCAAATGCAGGGTTCAGTAGCCCCGCCTCGAGCTAATAGCGTGGGTGTGGACGCACCTAAAGCGGACCGGGGGTAGTGTGAGCGGATGGCTCAGGCTAAGCGCAACAGAAACTGTCCAGTACAGGCCAAGTACAGGCTGGCGCATAGCTGTGTGGCGCGGTGAGATCAATGTAGGCGAGATGCTGGTGGCAACTGGGGGGGGGGGGGGGGGGCTTGTATGATATGTACCTCTGCGTACCTACATGTCCATTGTCGGCCCTGTGGGTTGAGGCGGCACAGACTTCGCAGAGAAGAGCATGCGCAATTGAGAACGCAGACGACGCCGAGAGCGGTGTCAACACATCAAGGCTGGTACTTACCAGGGATCGATCTTGCTAAAGGGGGACGACCAAATTGACCGCCCGCGCCCAACACTCTGGGACGTGCAGCTCCGATGGTCTTCCTTGCGACTTCCCTGTGCACCGTTAGTCTAAGATCTATCACGAGACGTATTGTGCCGGCGTTGAAGTGGCGGCCGTGGAGACATCGCGAATGCAGGAGGACAATGGCAGAGAAGCGCGACTCGGGATGAATGGCCGGGAGTTCGCTGCGTCTAGTCCATGACGCATACGACTTTGGCGGGCCAAGGGACAAGCGGCCAGGGCTAGGCCTCGAGAGTCGCTGCTTCGGAGAGGTGAGCATCCTCAATTCCCCTGGGAGAGTCGCACAAACAAGCACACGGCGGTGGATGAGAGATGTGATGACGGAGAGAGATCAGAAGCTAGGCCAGATCAAGTTTAGACCGTGCGGCATTCGCAGCTGTTCGTGCCGTGGAAGCGTTGTGCTTACGCAGCACCCCAAGAGCGGCGTCATTGCGTCCTGCCCATTGCTGCTACTGACCATCAGGAGAGAGGAGCGAGAGGGACGGTGCGCCTCCACGTTGCAGCGGCCTGCCAGGGCCAAGCCGGGCGGGCAGGATCTGTCCGTTGGGATCTCAGCCAATTTGAAGATCAAGGCACGGGTGCGCAGACCCATCGACGCCGGCGTTCGAGCCGCTGGCGAAGCCGTGGGCCCTCGATTGATTTCCGTTGACAGAAAGCACAAGTCCCGCAGCTGGGCCGCAGCGGTTCGGGGCCGGATGGCGGCCTCCCGGAAATGGCCGCCTTTCCATTGGCCCCCTCGTGCCTGGTTCGAACACCGACGCTAATTTGATGGGACCGAGACGAGGACACCGCCGGCGGGGAGCGAGGAGACGGCGAGCAAGTGGCGAACTCAGCGCGAGCTGTGTTGACGAGAGCATGGGCCAGATCTAGACCCCGTGCTCGGCCTCGAGGCACACAGGGCCCATCGCTGCTAGAAGTCCAATGTCGAGAACTGTTTGTCACGGGAGCGAGGACGAAGCGCAAGAACAGCATGCGTTGTCTCCAATAAGCAAAGCGCTCGGGCGGATGGCCGAGCAGAAGGGGCTGTGCAGCAATATATGGGAACTGTCCAGACGCATGGACGAGCGACAAAAGGATGCATGTCTGTAAGGCCTCGTGTGCTGTCGAGTGTCAGCTTGGTGTCAATCCGAGCCTGCTTCGCCCGGGTGAGCGGTAGAGACAAGTCGTCAAGAACCGGGACCAATGGCTTGTTATGGAGGCATGTGCACCGAGGACGGAACACATCAGCTAGCGCGTGGGCGATGAGAGGCAGAGGCAAAGTCTGGCCAATCGAGATACAGCATGTCATTGTTCGTGGGTGAGGGATTGCCGCACTAGCGAGACGAGGTGACAGGAGGTGACTGCGGCGATGAACCTGCATCCCGGGCGCGGTGGCGGCACCCTGATGCGCCGTGTAATCCATCTGGCAAGATCGGGGCTGCGTGTCTGGATCCCAGATGAAAAACATAGGGGCGAAGCAAGTGGGTCCAGCGCGGGTGGCACGCGAAATGCCTGTGAGTCCGGCGAACCGGCGGCGCAAGAGTGGAATAGCATGCGCCTCAGCCATCGATGTCGCCTGTGCCTTGCTGAATTTTGTCCGCGAGAATGCTAAGAACACAGAACGAGCCCGGAAGCGGAACGGGAGGGACGCCGCCATGTGAATCTGGCCGACCGAATACTACGAGAGAGAGAGACTGAGGCTCACGCACGCACTTGTTTGCGCAGCGTGGATGAGTGTGTGCGCCTCCTAATCGGGCAGGTGCTCTCACGCACCACAGCCACGGCTCGCGTCGAGCCCGAGCCTCCCGCGGCCGTCCACAGCGCACAGCGAGCGTACGCGGGCGGGGCGCAGGGCGCGCGAAGGGCGAACAGGGGTCATACGAGGCCGCAGAGGGCGGAACATGTTGATCGCGGGAAAACGAGCGAAAACGGACGGCAAAAGCGTATGAGCGGTTTGTGGGCCGTCTATTTGGACTCCTCTAACGCTCGGGTGCGGTCCGTCCCCCAGCAGCCACCGGCTTGCTTCCTCCAGCCTGCTCGCCGTCTTCCTCCTCGCCGTTGACGACGCCCTCCCGCACAGCGTCCGAGGCCATCTCCCCCACCCTCGCCCATCCTCCAGAACCGCCCATCGGCGAGCGCGGCGCGTCCGTACCGGGTCTTGACCCATCCCATCACTGTCATCTGAGGTGCGTTCGCCCTCCACCCCGCCCCCAGGTTCGCCAGAGCTCACCTCGTCTCCCGCCCCTTAGGAGTCCTATGGAACTCCCGACATCGCAGGTGCGAGCGTACAACGAACATACTAGTCGTCCGTGGTCGCCTCAAGGCCGGCCGACCGTGAACACCGCGGGCCTTCCCCACCCCGCCTCATCCGCCCCATCTGTCGAGACCAGCCCACACCCGTCCTCGGTCTCACACTCTGCACACGCCTCTCCTTGGCTTCAGCACATCTCTCTTTCCGCCTCCAATCAGCCGCCCTCTGTACCGTCGATGTTGCAGCATTCTGTCCCTCCGCCGCCCCATCCTGGCGATACCTCGGTGCAGCACGGTTCGGTGTCGAACATGCCCAATCACGACTGGGGGAACATGTTTTCTTCACCTCTCGATCCCTCTACATTCCATGCCCTAGCGGCATCAGGCGTCCTGCCGCCCGCCAACGGAGGTGTGCCGTCCAGCCTTCCCGCGCGCTCTGTACGTTCGCCGAATGAATTCTCGGCTAATGTTCGCATCCCACCTCTCAATACGAAGGACATTGGCCGGCCTGGCGCCGGTCAAGGTTTGCCAGGGCACTGGTCGAATGCGCCATCTCCGTACTCTTCCACGCCCTCAACATCTCAGAGAGCTTCGCCACAACATTTCAGGCCAGGGTCGGGTAGCCAGCCCTATGGTAAGCGCAGATCCCCCGTAAACGGACTGCCTCAGTATGGACCCATCGCCATGCCTCCGTCGGGCTCCTCGATGGCAAACTCGCACCCCTACGAGAATCACAGGATTCAGGACGGCCGTGATGGCGGGCCCCACAGCCGGCGTAGCTCGCTCAGCCATCAGCTCAACGGCCCCGGCCTCCCTGGCCCGCCTGGTCACTACGACATCCCGCTCGGTCCCATGAACGACGGGCACCTCGACACGTTCTCCGCCTCCTTCCCATCCGCACCGTCGTCACTCGATTTCGGCGGGAGCGTACACCACTCGAACGAGCGCTCTAATGCCTCGCTGCCGCCCTCCCTCTGGATGTCCCCCGCATCGGTGCCCTCATCCATTCCCTCATCTTCTCTGCACCTCACGGGTCCCTCCTACCCGCCGCTCACCCAGATCACCGTCCCACGGCACGGATCAATCTCCGACTCCCTCGGCGGTTCTACGCAGAGCCCGACGAGCCTCTCGTTCTACGGCGACTCTGCAAAGTCCTCAGCACCGACGTCTGCGAGCAGTCCCAAGGCGAAGATGCTGTCAGATCTGTTCACCGACGACTTCTTCCCGCACGCATCCCCGCTCGAAACCGCACGCCCACAGAATTTCCCGTCTCCCCGCCTGTCTGGCTCACCAGACTTGAAGGCGGCAGAGCTCGCCGCCGGCGAGACGGATCCCGAGATACTGCAGAGGGACGATCCGCTCGCGACCCAAGTTTGGAAGATGTATGCGCGGACGAAGGCGACGCTGCCACACGCACAGCGCATGGAGAACATCACTTGGCGAATGATGGCGCTAGCGTTGAAGAAGAAGAAGGAGGACGAGGAGAGAATAGCGCGGGGAGAGCAGCCGCTCAACGAGGGACTGAACGTTGACGGAAGCAACGTGGATATAGACAAGGTTCAAGAGGAGGCAGAAGAACGAGGGAGGCCGGTTGACAAGGGCACGACGCGGGTCAAGGTCGTCGGCTTTGATGGCGCCAACCAGGACGGCATTGACGATAATGAGTAAGTGTATTGCGTCATTTTTGCGGCACGAGTGTGTTCAAACGTGCTTCTGCAGCGATGTTGTGCCTATGGACTGGCGAGCCATGAGCAGGTCGCGCTCTCGAGTGCCCATGGACTGGCGGCCTGCCAGCCGGTCGAGGTCAAGGCCTCCCATGATGGGCATTCAATCGGCTGATCAGAGCGCCATCAAGTTCCCGACAGGGTCTCCTCACAAGGGCTCTTCATCGTCTACAATACCAATCCCGGGCGCTTCATCATCGCGCCTAGGGATCTCCGCAGTGCTGGAAACCAGCGAGCCTGACCCAACACCCTCGTTCTCAGCTACCGACAGTCCGCCCGCGCATCCCTCCTCGCTCCCAGCGAGCGGACTGCTGTCGCGAATATCTGCCTCAGGTGCCGCATCGCCGGAGCACCGTGCGTTCCCGAAGCACGTGCGCAAGACGAGCTTCGACCATACCGTCGCGCGAGAAGGCATCTTCAACGGGGTAAGTGGTCGCCATCAGGTCAACGGAAAGCCACTGTCCCCTGAGTCTCTTCTTGGCTTGAAGCGCCGCGCAGAAGGGCCCCATGCAGAGAGCATGCTTCGCGGCGACCAGGTCAACGTGCTCCCACATCCAGATCGCATCGACGCACATGAGCCTGAACTGTTCCGGCGCAACAGCCCTCCGTTCCCTTCGTCTTCGTTCAGTTTCAACTTCCCCTCCTCATATGATACCTCCTATGATATGTTTGGCGCAACCCATACCCTACCGCCCCCAAATATCCCAGCGTCTTTGCCACCACTCAAGGGTATCCGCTCTCCCGACCTGTCCTTCCACGATCCTCTGCGTGTGTCCATCCCTAGTGGTTTCTCACCTGCCGTTGGCCCAGGCGGTGAAGGTCTTTCCGCGCCCGCTCTTGCTGCCTCCCACGCTGTGGCGGAAGGCTTCGCCCAATTAAACCACACCAGCTTCGGGGCTATCGAGGACTCGTCTCTTGATTACAACCACCTTGCAGGCATGATGTACCCTGGCCTTGATAATGGCCTCGCCGTCGGGCCCTACACCCACGTCGATCCTCACCAGATTCTCCCTCTTGACACAGACGGTGGCTTCCAGAGCTTCCATCCTAGTCCGTCGAGTGATGGCTGGGGCAACGGTGTGAACTCGAGCTCGAATGCTTCTCCAGAACCCTACAACCACTCGAACGCCTCGACGCCGCCGTCCGCAGATCATCAGGGTCAGCGCAACCAACCCCGGAAGATCGCCTCGTCGAAGCGAGTACAAGACTCCGCACGTAATGGTAATCGGAAGAAGTGGGTGTTTCAGTCGCATGATGGTCGCGATGCGTCACTGACGGTTTGCTAGTAGTCCTGAGGTCGGGCGCAATGGGAACGGCGAGGAGGATGCGAACCCGACTGTGTGCACCAATTGCCAGACGACGAATACGCCTTTGTGGAGAAGAGATCCTGAGGGACAGCCGCTATGCAACGCATGCGGCCTATTCTTTGTGAGTATCATCCAAACGCCCATATATATGCGTCGAGCTTATCGCCGCTCTTTATCAGAAACTGCATGGTGTGGTTCGACCGTTATCGCTTAAGACAGACGTGATTAAGAAGCGGTGAGTGAGCTGATCCTGTTGGCCACGCAAGGAGACTCATGAGCTGTGTAGGAACCGCGCTTCGGGGACGCCACACGGAGCGTCGCGCAAGGGCTCTGCTGGGCTGCCGAAGATTACGTCCTCAGCCAGTCGACCGCGTGCTGCGACCACGAGCTCGATGCCGATGGGCCTGCATGGCTCTCGACTGTCGCCCACCGCTCGGATTGGTGCCGGCGCCGCGAACAACATGTCTATGAAGCGGCAGAGACGGACTTCCACGAGCGTAGCAATGCAGGCGTCGTCTGGTCGCAAGCCAGGCGATGAGGGCATTGGTGCGTAGTACTGTATTATAATGTGTGTCGGAAGTCGTCTCTGCCATCCCTCTTTCATCTCTGACGTGGTGTGATGCCTATGCTTGTATCTTCCGCTTAGATCTTGTAGCAGTCCGCTCCGAGCTCTGATTGCCTTTGATTATCCGTCGTCCTTACCATGCTTCCTGTTGTCACGAGGGTATGTCAATGTGTGTACGATCGCCAGTAGAGTCCATAGATTATTGTTTCACCAGAGCTCGACCACTCGGATCCTGTCTTTGTGCAATCGATGAAACGTGTATTGCCTAACATCGCTCTCTTGCTGTGTACATATATGCTTTGAGTTGAGCTTCGCTGTATAACAGTCTGCCTTTCAATGATGATCCCTGACACGACGAATCACGAATGAATGTCACATCGAGTAGTGTTCGCAGAACAACATGGCCACTGGCTGCATCATAAAAACATATACATATGCATGCGCGGATTGGGCGTTTCACAAGTTCAAATAACATACAATTACTAGCATGACAGAATGGTAAGTATGGCAACAATATGCAAGATGTGTACGAAAACATGCACGAAACCTGACGCATAAGATCAGTCGTTGTTGACGTCGTCATCCCCTACCTCGGCTTGTTCTCTCCGGTGCATGCCTGGAGATGGAGATGGTGATAAGCCAGCACTCGGAGGAGGCTCCTCCCTTTCCTCTATCGTCTCTCCTTCAGGCTGCCCTTTCCACTTCGCTTTTACAGTGTCCGTAGGCTCGTTGTCCGTCGGACTCGCGACAACGAGCGCACGCTCAAGCGCCTTCTCCCCTCTCTTCTTCATTCGAAGCGACATCGCCGCATGCAGCGAGTCTATGTATGACTCGTACTTGACAATCTCTGTCAGGAGGTACTGGGACTTCTTCTCCCAGTTACTCAGGGATTTATCAGCATTTGCGGAGCGAGGCCGGTACTACAAAATACACAAGCGTCAGAGATACGCCCCCTGATGGGGGAAGGGAACGTACTAGGTTGGTCATGGGCGACCTCAGCTCATTATGTTGCTTGAGCTCCGTTTTGAGGTACGCGACGTGTTTCTGCAGGGCCTCGAGCTGAGTCTCCTCGTCGTGATTGCTCGGTACCGTGGATGGCATAGGCGGCTTCCATTCGTTGATGAACGTCCTATCCGCCCAGGGCGACTTGTCCGCCCGAACAGTCGATGCGAGGTCCTTCATCCGGCTCCGGCCACTCCGACCGCTCCTGATGCTGAAGCCGTCGTCGTTGTCCTCGCGCTGTGAAAAGTTGTCCTCGGACGCGGACCGCACCCGTGTGACGGGATCCAACACGCGATTCCAGCCATACTCCATGTTCGAGACGCCGCCGATCAAGGGTTCCTTGCTCTGCCGCGCAGCCCAGTAGTTGCACGTCGAGACCCACTCATTCACAAGCTCTTCGGTACCCGCTTGGAAGAAGTAGACACCCCCGTTGGACAAGGTCAGAACCATGCAATGTGGCCGCTGACGGTTGTACCCCGGAGACGGGAGAGCGTGTGCGAGCGAATGGGCAAGCACCAGCTTACCCACCGGCTGCGCGTTTTCCTGCGAAAAGAAGTCAAGAACTGAGATATGGCATACCTTGACGTACTACTCACAAGCCAATTACCGCCGCCGACGACATGCGATGCGCCATGCGCATGTTCTCCGAAGACGAACATACTGAGTTCGCCCTTCTGTATGACGACGAAGACGTCCATCCACGACTTCGACTTCGCCCTCTTCCCAGTGCACTCCCAGTACTGCTTACGGCAGAGCATACCTTCCTTTGCCCATGGAGGCCCGAGGAGAGCAAGCTCTTCGTCCGTGATACTGGCGTCAGTACCAGAATCCGAGCTCTCCATGCTGTGAGAATCATCCTCCTGCGTCTCTCGGATTATGGTATGTGAGAGATTGGATGCGAAGCCCATCGCGGGGGTGAGGAATGATGCTGTTGAGGCGTGGAAGCCCTAGAGGAGAGTCAGGACCGCGATTCTGCTCGTCTAAGTACGACCCACTTCAATCGAGTTGGCGAAACTTGGTGCAGGACTCGCCCGGCCGTCTACGCTGCTGTTGCTGCTGTAAGGACTGACGCCCGACTGTGCGTGCAATATCGACTGCAGACCGCGTATACTTCCCCGCTTGAGGTTGGCTAAACGGTCCCCCTGTTGGCCGCGCAGGCTCCGTTGGCGCAGTAGCGCACCGTGGTGCGGGCTGAGGGAGGAGGTGGAGGACCGGGCCGTCAGTGCGCTGCCAATAGGCTGCAATATCTGCTGGCTCTTGACGGCATTGTACATTTCCTGTCAAGGATACCCTGAGTACTGCCCGCCGCTCAGAGCGAACAAACACTCACCTTCAGCAGGCTTTCTACCTCCGACTCCCAATTCCGGTCATGCACTATAGCCGTAGGCGCAGGCTCCCGTTCCGGCGCCCTCGACTCCCGCTCAGCCATCCTCGGTTCCTGGCCCGACGCCACCGACACCTCGCTCCCATTCACTGGCCGCTGCCCTGTGCCGTCCGAAGCCGAACTCAACTGGCCGCTCGACGTCCCCGCGGACGTCACCGAGTTTGACATGCCCTCGCGCGTGCCGATGCTGTTCCAGCTCGCGATGCTGTCGCTGCGTTTCGCGCGCCGCGTGGCATTCGCCCCGGCGACGTCGCTATCCGAGCCCGCGCGGAAGCTCGTCCAGTCGTCATACGAGAGGTCACTGTTCGAGCCCTGGTTCGGTTGTAACTGCATCTGAATGGTGCCCAGTGTGTTGCGCACGAATTGGCCGCGGGACATCCGCGTCGCGAGGTCGGCGACGTGGAGATCGGTGTTGAGAAGGAGGAGAGAGTACGTGACGGCGTGGACGACACCTAAGATGACATTGTGAGCCTACACTGCAGTGTTGCGTGCGAGGATGATGCACGCACTGGCACTGCCGAAGATGCTACTGGGGTTGCAGTCAAAGTACCGCCGCGCGAACTCGTCCAGAATCCGGTCGACTTGCTGTGTCTCAGCCTTGAGGAAGAGCTTCGCGCACAACCGCCTGCAAGCTCCTGTCATTCACCCTCGCAACTACAATGCATGAACCCACTCACCTGAACGCGTGGTCTAGCCGCAGCGCCGAGAAGTCAAAGTGGTCTATGTAATGCCGGAGCGCAGTCTTGTTGATCACGCTCTGCCCACCGAGCCACTCCGCGATCTTGTCCTTCGCCATGAAGTCCTCGTCCTCCGTCCAGCATCGCTCCGCCAGCTCCCGCCCCCGTGTATCCAGGTCCGTGCCATCCTCACCCGAGCCCTTGACTGGCGAGGCTCGTGCGCCGGCGCTGCTCAGCGCAAATCGCGTAATATTCTCCCCGCCAATGTCCGACGCAGGCACGAGCGACGGCTCCGACGTCGACGCCGTCGAGCGGTGCTGCGCCCGGAGACGCTCCGTCCCAGCGCCACCCATGCCGATGCTGACGGACGCGAGCGACCCGCTCCCGCTGCGCATCTGGGGGGAGCGTGGGCCGTACTTGAGCGACGACACGCGGGGCGGGCCTGTATTCACCGAACCTGAACGTGCACGGATAGGCGAATGCTGCAGGGAAACCGGACGGAGTGGCGGTGGCGAGGCGGTCATGTCGCCTGACATGACCGCCTCGGCAGGTTGTAGGTTGAACGTAGGCGTCAGCATCTTCGCAGGCGAGGACACTATTGGCTTTAACGTCGGCCGCGTGGGGCTGTCCTCCTTGCTCGTCGCACCGTCGCTCTGTGCACGCAGAGCCGCGAGTGCAGGTCGGCGCGCCGGCGTCGTCGGATCGCGCAGGTCGAGTGACGTCGCGGTATCGAGCTGCGAGAGCTCACCGCGGAAGTCAGAGATAATGCCACTCAGAGTACGCCCCCATACCTCCGGCCGGCGACCTTCGCCCGATGCGCGCGCGGGCGTCGATGGTCCTGCGCCCTGTGCAGCCGCTATCGCCTTCTGAACGTCTGCGTCACTTACGCTCATGCTCCGCCGCTTGTGCCCGCGGCTCGCGGTCCGAGTGTGCTGTGAGGCTGAGTTCGGCCGCTGCCGGAGCGTCGTCGTCGGCGACGGCGAGCGCGACCGCTCGATCATCACCAGCGACGCATCGTCCGCGTCCGAGGGCGCCGACGGCAGACTTTTGTTGACGCTCGACGAATCGCTGAACACGTCCGACGGATCCGTGCGCGGGGAGACAAAGTTTGCCCGGTGCTTTGGCGGGATGGGAGGCACGGGCGGTGTAAACGCGTCCATGAGTGGCGTGGACGGATACGTTGCGACAGATGTCGTTGACGGCGATGATGTGATCGTTCGCTGCGGCGTGTCAGTGCACCGAATGCGAGCCGCACAGGCGAACGACTCACTGAGCGTTCGCGGGTGCTCGACTGCCCGAGCATCTTGCCCAGGAAAGCAGACGTCTTTTGGCGGACGGAAGACTTTGCGTTCTGAGAGACATGAGTGGCAGAGACAATGCAACATCTCGGGAGACGCACCTTGGCCGGGCTGGTCATGACCCACTCTGCACTCGTGTTGCCGTCGTGAGCGAGGTCCATGAACGGATTCGGCTTGAGTCTGCCCTTCGGCGCAGGCGTCACCTGCGGCGAGGGCGCCGGTGACGACGTCGAGAACCGCTGGCCCTGGTACGCATCGGGCCTGCTGGGTGTCGTCGGCGAGTCGAGGGTCCTGCCGTCGCTGGGAGCAGAGCCGCGGGCCTTCGCTTTACGTAGCAGGGTCGCGAGGTCCGGGCTGCTCGCGGTGCCGGGCGAGCGATACATGGAGCGCCGCTTGGTGTGGTACTCGCCGTCCGGCTCCTCGGACAGAAAGTCCGCCGTCGACGAGGACGACGACGGCGCCAGGTTGGAGCGGGTAGACGAGGACGCGGACGGCGGCGGGTGGGGACTGGCGACGGGAGAGGGGGTGGGGGGCACGATGGTGGGGGTGGCGGGTATACGGGGCCTGCGAGGCGAGGGGGAAGAAGAGGAGAAGGAGATGGAAGCGTTGGAGAGATCAGCACCTAAGCTGTCTACGTCGAGGCTCTCCTTGAGGACGACGGTGCCGCCTGCGCGCAGAGCCTGCTCAAAGTCTAGATCGGTGCGGGAGGTGCGTCGGGAGGCATGGATGTCGCTGGGCCCGATGGCGTGGAGACCAGAGGGGAATGCGGAGGGCGGTGCAGGCGACCGCGGCGACGGCTGTCTGAAGAGGGACGCCAGATTGGCAGGCCGCGTCGCAGAGTCGCGTGTGTCAAGCCCGCCTTCGCCAGCGACGCACATCCCCTTCCTGCCGCCCACACGTGGCTACAAATCGTTCTCCCTCCAGCGCCTCCTTTCTCGCAATCCAGTCGCCTTTACAGAGAACACCCATATCCCATATCCCGTATGCAGGTACACCCCCGTATTCAATACTCAGATGTGAAACAACCCGTCACGATCGCTCTTTTCCCGGTCACATCTTGAACGACCCCGGGTGGACTACCGTACGCTCAATCCCGCCCAAGTTGCCTTTTCAGGTAACTCCCGATGTATCCATGGATTCAACATCCTACGTTCGGGGAGGCCGATACATGCTTGCTTGCCCAGGTGGGTACTCAGCGCTCAGAACTCAGCTTCAGGTCCTCGGCGAACGCCTCCCATAACAACTCTAAATTCGTAATTGGCAAGACGTAACCGCTGGCGTTGCAGAGCTGCGTTCGCTTCGTCTCCGACTCCTCATGGTAACTGTTTCTAGACCTCCGAAACCTGGGGATTGTTGCTAGCCTGGGTTAGCTTGCCGACGACTTACTGAAACATAGATTTCGCCCTGATTCACGGGATTCCACACCCTCCAAGACTCCAGGAATATCAACAACGTAGATTCGTCATTTCCGCCCGCGAATGGGTACTTAGGTCAAGATGAATACAATGCACCACCCTTGCAACCGGCTAGTCCCTATCAACGAAGGCAAGCACCGACTATAGCTGCTCGAGCTATTAACCAGCTGGTTCTCATCTTTGCAGGACAGCTCACCTGCGATCTATGTGACGCGAGTGCTCGGGGAGCGTTCACTTGCTCTTCGGGGGCTCCGCGCAGCCGCACGCGGGGTATGTGCAGGAGTCGCCGTTGGCTTGGACGTTAGCGCAGGTTGCCTTGTCCTGCCGCGTCGGTCAGTCGACACGCCTGACATCGATGCAAGCTGGAAGTACTCACAGACATTGTAGTTGATATGCGAGGAGTCGAGTGGTGAGTAGGTTGTGTGGTTATTGACTGGAGTTGACGGTGCAAGTGCACTCCTCTTATAGGGTTCGTACTATGCGCATGTGTTTGTGACTGGAATACCTGCTGCCCTGATATTCAGTATTCAGAGAGCGTTTACTGGTCGGTTGTCGTCCAATAAAACGAGGTACGTTGGTCATGTCTTCTGATACAGCAATCTCCACAGACGGCCGGTGTATGCGGATCCGAGGACCGGCATGGCCCATAACGGCGGAGGTCTCATTTGTGGACGCAGATACTGAGACGGCAGGCGAACATCCTCGCGTACGGCCCGCAGCCGACGCTGGTGAGATCACATTCACGGTTGATTGGCTTATGGCGACGAGTGCGCGTGCCATGAACGAACCTGCATCATTCATATCTTCAGCCTGCTACATGGAACAAGGTTCCAATGTTCTAGTAGTCATCTTCTACTCAGTCTCGGAATCGTGAGGAGAGGCGTTCAGTATACACGTGGATCCCCGATCATCTGTGACTTGCAGCGTCCAATCTGAGATGTCGTGCAGATCAGGTCCTGCTTGTACTTGCCAGTGTCGCGTCGCAGAGTGGACGTGCAAAATATGCCACATGCATGATGAATGATGACTGGAGAGAAGTAGAACTGTGCGATGGCTAATGGACGTCTCCTATCAACAGCAGTGTCACGGGAAGAGCGAGTCAGGACTCGGAAGAGACGGCGAACCCCCGCCACTTCCGCTCCACTCCCCTGTGTCCCGGCGAACAAGAACCTCTCTACTGCCATCTCGCTTCATTCCCTCCCACTTCCCGGCAGTATGCCCGCAATCCAATCGAGCTCGTACAGGACGCCGTTACCTGCCTCTCATCCACCCTTCGACATCCCACAATATCCAGTCGCAAAGTCAGACCCTACGACTCGTCAAGCTTCCCCATCCGCGCAAGAAAATTACATCGCGGACGTATTAATCAAGTACGGCTGTCTGTGGGAGGATCATGCGCATCACATCCGCGTCAAGGGCTTGAAGAACCACGCAGGCCTCAAAGCGATCTACGACAGGGCCCTCGCTCGCTGGACCACCGATCCGCAGTACTCACAATGGCGGGGCCCCAGGACATACCTAGCGGGCAGAGAAGAATGGCTTCACTGGATCGACGGTGTGATCAACACCGCAGGCAAGCCGATTGACGCCATGACCATCGAAGAGTGCGTACAAAGTTGCGCTTTCGTGTTGCAGGCATCGAAGCTTTAACGGTCTGATTGCACCGTTAGACATTGTCTGGCTGGTTTCGCTGCGTGGGCGGCATTTATCTACGTATCATGCAACGAGTATAAACCGACAGTCGAGGGTGGCATTGACAATGTTTCATGTTCCTCCTTAGTCACTAAGACAATGTACGTGCACCGCCCTCATCGCCGCCTGCGCTATTCCTCATCAACGTACAGGAGTGATCACGCCCTCAAACGTCAGAAATCCGAGCCTGAGTTTCACTGCCATCCTGCCCGCCCTCCTCAGGGGCTAACACGCAGTGGGTCGTATGTGGGGTTGAAGCCAATCATCGGTGCAAGTGCCGCCCTGGTCGGGACCACCTTTACCTACAAGGATCCAAAGACTCAGCACCCGCGGACGTGTACCGTTACCGGCTACTCTTCGACGTTGCATGGCGTCGAGTACACCGTCCAGTATGACGATGATGGCGCAATGTCAGACGCGAATGACAAGAACCAGACGATGAGTGACGACGACTTCGAGCAAATCTGGGACGCACGCCTAGAGGAATGAACACCGCGCTAGGCTCCTCGGTAGCTCCTCTTGCCATTCAACCTATCCCGCACGGCGTCGCATTCACGTCTTCCGATCGAGTATGTATTCAATGATTGTGCGCCACACTCGGCCGACTGTGTATAGTGTCGCAATGGTTGGTGGGTTGTGCATAGTGTAAAGCGCAATACACCCGTCTTCCCAGCACGAATGCGTGACGTGCGGTGCCACTGGTACTGTAGATATCCCTGAGACCAAAGACGGGAGTCTTGATAGGGCCAATGAAGACTTACTGGCCAGACACACGGCCAGATCGCGCGTGGCTGGATGGCGAATGCTGAGGATCGCGAGGGGAATACGTGGCTGTAATACGCAGCTAATTCTCATGTATACATGATCTTGGTAAGGCAATGCCATTATTCCCTGATGGGGGCGACGCGATTACAACCCAGACGAATATGAGGAAATGATGCAACGTGTTAGTGGTGGACGTTGAGTACAAGGGACATAGCAGGATAGCACGACAGCAAAACGGAGAAGCATTACAGACAGCAAGCTCAAACCAAAATCTAATTGTCCATCACTCGACCCGGGCACCCCAAATCTCCCGGAACTTGTCTTCAGATAGTGTCACCTTCTTGGCCCGTTCACCATCCGGATCCTTCGCGGTTAGATGCTTGATAATATACTCGGCACCGTCGTCAATCGAGGTCACAACACCAGTGACCATGCAGGTACGGGCGCGGGCCATTGTGCGGGTCTTGTACTCGAATATGACTCCGAGCAGAGAACCGTCGGCGATGTTCGGGAGCGGCACTCGCTGTGGAGCGGTACCCCTTGACTTGGGATGAGCTGGATGATTGAGAAAATCGGGCTCGGAGTCTTGGAAGGCCCGGGCACAATCTGCGCTATATTACACGTCTGTGAGCAATGCACGCAAGAAGGTCCATTTGGGATACGTACAGCTTCCGGCCGATGGCGGGCTTCAGCCTGCCAATCACCTCCGGGTCCTTCATGCACGGCTCATTGCACCTCAGCACATCTGATACACTGAAAGCGGCGAACGTGACGATCCAATGACTGTGGCGAGGAGCATGAGCGCTGAAGACCAACTGGATGCAACCACAACTCACTCTTCAGTCGTCATCTCTGCGTCCGGTTTGCAGTGTGATCTGATCACCCCCTCTATCCAATCGATGTAACTATCCCTTTCTTCAGCGTAGTTCGTCGTCGGGCCTTGCCACCGCGAGAACTCTGGGTCCTTGATCCAACGATCCAGAGCCCGCGTGTAAGACAAAGAGAACCCCTCCGGCGTCTTCTCTCTGAGACGGACATAATGGGCGTGCTCTTCCCAGAGGCACCCATATCTGATGAGTTGGTCAGACAACCGTGTCTCCCGCTCAGCCTGCGATGCTTGACGCGCCATGGCGCGAGATACGGAGGATCGCGCGGTGAGAGGCGCAGAGCGCGTTGGGGGTTTAGACGCTCGATGAGATGCTCGACGCGACGCAGGCATGATGTGAGCAATGGTGAACTATGAAGACAGTGAGAATGTATCGGGTACGTTATGAACGCGGAAAGCGACGCGTGAGTTGGTGGCAAGAGGTGAACTGTTCGCGAACGTGACAGAGTCACGACGCGTCGATTCTCGAACGCGATCGAGCGCAACGCGTCCCACGTGGATGTCTATGGCACATGTCAATGATACATCTCTTAAGCGCTGACACGCGGTACCGAGAGCGCGTACAGTTTGCGTACATATGCAGGTACTTAAAGCTGAAGGTCTCTATTCGTTTGTACCGTTACCAATGCATTCACAAGATCGGCGAGAATGCGGATAAAATTATAGGATCCTGTTATCGTCACTCATAGCACTCACGTCCACTAGTACTAGTTGGTAGGTAGACGCTGTGTATCCCGAGTCCGTGTACCGTTCAGGCCCGGGAATCAGGATCTTACCATGCATCGCCATAAGACAGACTGTGCCGCCTCCTATGTTCTGAACTTTGTTAGGCGTGCTGATAGACACGCGGATGCTCGGACGTTATGCGATGGCTCGTATACTGGCGTATCGTTGATTGTATCACAGAGATGCTCAACACAGTCGCCGAGCCTTTTGAGTATACTCGCGCCTGAATCGAGGAGGAAGCACAAAAAATATAACGGCCTTTTTTGCGCTCAGACTCACTTGACGGGTTGCGACTAACGGGCGGATCGAGTTCACGAATGATCCATTGGATTGAACATTATTCATTCAAGCCGGCAACTGTGTCATCATGTAGCGATCACAACCGAAGGACGCCCCGACCGACTAATCGACTACAAGTGGGATAAGAAGCAGGTCAGTTCCGGCTTACTCCATACCCCATTCGAGACTTACGTACCCTGAACGAGGTGCTTGAAGGGCGTTACTTGCTCTTCGGGGGCTCAGCGCAGCCGCACGCGGGGTAGGTGCAGGAGCCGCCGTTGGCCTGGACGTTAGCGCAGGTAGCCTTGTCCTATCGCGCTTGTCAGTCCACGCGATTCGTGTCCATTGAGTCTGGTGGTACTCACAGACATTGCGATTGGTATGTGAGAAGTGGATGAGGGGTGAGTGGTTTGCGTAGTCGTTGACTGAGGTTGACAGAGTGCACGCACTCCTTTTATAGGGCTCGTAGCTGGCTGTGGCTCTGGAGGTATAGACACCGTGTGTTTGGGTAGTGTGCATTCAGGATGGTATCATTGGTCGGCCGTTGTCCAATAGAGGCGGGGGCGTTTATCATGCCTTCCACAGGCGACGGATTCCAAAGACTGGCGCTGCGTATGGCTACACCGGTAGGCTGGAGCCTGCAGCTGACCTGCGCGTGTCAGTTGAAGCACGGACGCTGGACTGAGTAGCTACGTTACCGACTGTACGCGACAATGATGTATTGTCCCAATCGGGCATTGCTTTCTCTGGTAATTCCCGACGCGCGATGTCAGCGTGTAATTCGCACTGGTGGGTCGCGGTCTGGTAGATGGCTAACGCATGTGGGCAACCCACAGGACCTTCATATGTTCAAAGCGCGCGGCTATGAGAACGGACAACACCACACGGGCACCTTGGACGGAAGCTTGTCTCGCGGCAGTGATGGAAGACTGGCGTGTTCCTCGCCTGCGAGGAAGACTAATTAATTGTATGTTCGGAAAACTTGGAGGACAATCTAGGCAAGCGGCCACCCATCGCTGACACCAAGTAGAATTAAGTCGGTACGACCCCGTCCAACTGGCAGATTGGGCTGCCAATGTTTGGCACGGAACACGCGCAGACGGCGTCTTACCGCGCTGCAAGTTGAGGCAGGCTGAGCCCCCGTTGCTTGCCTACCATGCTGGGGCCCCGGAGAGCGCGATAGCCCCGGCACGCAAAACTCAATCTTCTGCAAAACGCTATCGGCGTGATTCACGCACACACTGCCCTGATGTATGAAACTCTGCCTCACCGTTTCAAACCGCCATCGCTCACGATATCACCGCGTGTCGAGCTAACGCATGTTGGTAGACAGCGATGATCCTTCTTTTGGCGTTGGCAGTCGCACAACAGTAGACAGCTACAGCAGCGCGACCTTGGGCTTTATGTGTGGCGCGAATTCTCTTCGGCGGGGGAGGATCACCGACAACTGAAATCATCCTCTAGCTTGCCTGATCCTCTCTGCGTATCATTGACCCGGGTAGATCGACCATATGCTCTGCATCAAGTTCAAGTTGCTTTGGAGGAAATAGACATACCGTAGCTGCCAATGCAAGGCAGGTGCCAAATCAGCTCTATACGCGTGTTGAACCCGCTATAGCGCGACGCCGAATTAATCTACCTCAGCCTCGTGCACTGGGGATTGCCGTACTCGGTCTGAGTTTGTGCCTGTGCTGCGGTCAACTACGTGTAGGGGGTGATCCCAGACACCGGACTCACCGACGACAGAGGACGCTGGGCTTGTCCGTCGGGTGAGGAGTGTCCTTGCATCCAACACGCGCAACGGATCACTTGAGAAACCATTTAACATAGCTACGCGATACGATCGATCGCGCGGGTCGTGGTCGTCGCGACGCACATCTTCTTCGAGTTCAGTGTGTTCTTTCCGGCGTATTTCGGTGTCAGTCTGGCCACGCCGCGGGGGAATGACGGCGCCGAACAAGGCAAATTTTGAGGGACAAAGCGGACGGAGGCCTCGAACGAGTGGAAACGCCAACGTGCACGCCCCGCCACCACTGCGCACGGAGCTGTGTGCGGTTGCCGGGGTCTCGGCGATTGAGCGCGTTGCGGCCTTTTATGCCGTCGCGTCCAACCACCGTTGTCCTTTGTTCTTCCTCCTCGTTCCCTCCATCTCCGTGACCGCAGGCACTACATAGGCCTTGCCCCCCCTCTCCTTACTCACGACGCCCGTTTACACGCCCACGATGTCTTTCTCTGTCCTCTCCGCTGCCTTCGCCACCGCTCTTTTGGCGACTGCCGGCGTGAACGCGGAATCGCACACCGTTCGTTTCGCAAACCTGTGAGTCTCCTCAATTCATCCAGAGCAACCCAAGACTGAGGCCTCTCAAGGTGCGGATCAGGAACAGTCAGTATCTGTGTCTTCAGTCTTTGTATGGTGCCCTGACACGCGCGTTTAGCCCACGCTACTTGGAAATGGAGGTGTGATGTCCACCGGCCAGGACTACACGTCTGACGGTCCCTTCGAGTCAGCCATTGCGTACGTGACAATGTCTGCTTGATGCGCAGCCGCTAATTTGGTTGTTTACGCAGGTACTTGACGGGTGGCGATGGTGTGTACTTCCATACCAGGTTCATTGTAGTATCTAACCGGCATGCAGGTATTACGTGTGGTTACAATGGCGAGCAGTGCCTTCTCGTCGAGATGACCTTGGGCAACCCTACCGTACCCGGTGGTGGCTCTTCCGTCGACATCAGTGCCATTGCTCCGTACGTTGTTCAATCAGCATGACGATTACCCCACTCTGACTGCGTGCCCACGCTGCTGTAGCCATGCATTCAACGTGCCGACTTCGTTCTCATACTTCGGATCCTGCGCCAACACCGGGGCTAGCTGTAGGTTCTCTTTTCTGCTCTCGTGTGCATGCGCTGAGGCGTCATCTCGAAGGTGCAAGCGAGGGCTGCTCCGAGGCCTTCTACCAACCGGATGACAACCAGGTACAGGTTGCTTGCGAGGCCGATAACGTGAGTTTGCAGCCCGATTGTGCTCGCAGCAGATTCTGACGTCTTTCCGCCCAGGTCAACCTGCTCATTGCATTCTGTGGTGACGCGACGACGCTCAACCCCGATGACTACGTGAACGGTGGTTCGGGCAGCGCGGCTTCCTCCCCTCCTGCTTCCACGTCCGTGGCTGCCAGCACCTCGGCAGCCCCGACCGTGTCGTCTTCGGCAGTCAGCACCTCTGTGGATGTCTCCTCATCTGCTGCGGCGTCCTCTGCGAGCGTGTCAATTTCGAGCCCGCCCGTCCTCCTTCCCGTGTCGACCACCCTCGTGTCTTCTGGTGCGGTCTCATCCTCCGCGGCATCCTCCCCGGTTGTAACGTCCGCATCCTCCGTGGTATCCTCCTCGGTTGTAACGTCCGCTGCCGTTACGTCCTCCGCAATCTCCTCGTCCGCTGCCTCCTCTGTCGTCACATCGGCCCCGGTTGCGTCTTCGAGCTACGTCACTTCCTCCGTGATTGTTACCCAGAGTGGCACTACCGCTGTTTCGTCCTGCCGCGTGCGCCCTACTGCCTCGGCTAGCGGATTCCCGCTTTCTGGTTCGGCCGCTCCTTCCAGCGTTGCGACTGCGTCAGGCTCTGATGTGACCAGTGCTGCTGTCTCTTCTGGAGATGCTTCTTCTGCCGCCTCTTCGGCTGCCATCTCCAGCGTCAGTGTCACGGACGTCCCTACCAGCGCCAGTGCCTCTTCGGCTGCTGCGAGCGCGGCTCCCACCGAGACGGACACGGGCGACGACGGTGATGATGGCTGCGGTGACGAGACTGGTACGGACGTTGCTCCCTCCAGCACCGACGCTGCTTCGGCTACCTCTGCTGCAGCATCCGCCACGCCCACCGACAGCGACGATGGCTGCGGCGACGAGACCAGCACCGACGTTGCCCCCTCCAGCACTGCTGCTGTGTCGGCTACCTCCGCTCCTGGTGTCTCTAGTTCTGCGGTCGCAAGCGCCTCCGATGTGTCCTCCAGTGTTGTCCCGACTTCCTCAGCTGCCCCGTCGGCATCATCCAGCGCTGTGCCTAGCGCGACTTCGAGCGCGGATGGTTGCGGTGCGACCGATAGCACTGCTCACCGCCGGGAGCTCCTGGAGCGTCTCTCTGTGCGGAAGCGCGCTGCCGCTCCCGCGTACGACCTCGCAAAGGTCTTCACCTCCCGCCGCCGCCACGCGCGTGGTGCGTACCTCAACAGCATGTATGGCCACTGAGCCCCGGTCATGTACGACTGGTGGCCACGGTCCGTGTCTGTGTGCCACCACCCTTCCCGTCCTTTCTCCCCTCCTGGTTCCTTGGATCGTTTACATTATCGACCTCGCAAGCGAGGTTTGGATCACGCAACTCGCCGGCATCTTAGACTAGAGATGTCGAGGCCGCGATGCCCTGGTTAGGGAGACGATATGTGCTATATTGGGTGTATTCCCGGTGTCGCGCGTGGGTTGCTGCAAGCTGGAGGCTTGTGTTCTCGCTCTGTGATGTGGTACAAGTTATTGTGTTTGCGTATCTCGTTCTCGTCCTGTAGCGTTCGTAGATCGACTACTAGGTGCTCTCAATACATCCTCAATGTCGGACTGGTAAGACTTGTGAGCCTCGCCAGGCCTCGCCGGACCAAACGACGGGCAGTGCGATCGAAAAATGAACGGAGATCAATTGACGATGCCGATTGCGGTGCCTGCAGGGAGCCGCCGGCCGGCGTCTTCCTGGTTCAGTGACGGGATGTTGCCGTGACGACTCTGCTTGGCCGCGGGCTTGGGCGGCCGTGCGTGACTGTGTGACGATGCAGGCCGGTCGCCGGTCGATGTTTTGAGGGGGTCGCCCGCCCGCCTCTCTTCCTCCGCAGACCAGCATCCTCGAGTCCTTCTCCTCTTTCCGCTTCCTCTCGTTCGCCGACGTTCCTTTCGTCCCCACAGCCATGTTCTCCACGCTCCTTTCTGCAGTCTTGGCCGCCGTCGCGCTCGCCGCGCAGACGAACGCCGAGTACCATACCATTCGTTTCTACAACGCGTGAGTCGGGGCGTCATTTTTGGGCGCGAGACGGGATTTACTGAACGACGGCGCTCTGGACAGGTGTGGCTTCGGAACGGTGAGTGGTGGCATGTTTAAGACACCCCGAGTCGGCGCGCTTACCGGTGAGGCGTATAGCCGACGCTTCTGGCGAACGGAGACGTCCTTTCGACCGGCGAGGACTACACGAGCGACGGGCCCTTCTCTTCTGCTATCGCGTACGTGCTCTCTCGGACGCGTTGCTGCGACTCAGCTTACAGTATGCTGTGTGCGCTCTAGCTACCTGCAAAATGGTACGTCATACTCGTCTCCATCTCTACGCCCCGTTGTTGACACAGAGCACAGGCAACCAATGTGGATACAATGGGGAACACTGCACGTTGATGGAGATGACCATGAGCAACCCAACCTGTGCTGGGTGCGGTTCGTCGGTCGATCTTTCTCTCATCGACCCGTGAGTGCCTACGCGATTCCCGGTTCTGCCTCTTGACAGAGCTCTGTGCAGGCATTCATTCAGCTACTGGACCTCCTTCGCGTGAGCTCTCATATCACTGCGTTCTAAACTATCATGTCGAAACCCACCTCGTATGCAGGTACTTCAATGGATGTGAAAATACTGGTGCTAACTGTAGGCACTCCATCCTTATCTTCTGACGAAAGGCAAGCCGTTCTTACTCTAGTGTCATGTAGGCCCTGCGGCGGGTTGCGCCGCCGCATTCTACTACTCCGACGAAACCCAGGTCCAGGTCGCCTGCCAGGCCGATAACGTTCGTCTCCGCAGTCTGTGACAGGGTTTTCCCCGCTAACCGAATGTTCTCTTCAGGCTGGCCTGCTCATCGCATTCTGCGCGGATGCCACCACCCTCGACGCGAACAACCTGCCTGGCACCAGCCCTTCGTCCAGCTCCGACGCACCCTCGACTAGCAGCACCTACGTTGCCCCGACTTCGACCTGGTCAAGCTCATCGACTTATGTCGCCCCGACCTCGTCGGCCGTTTCTGCATTCTCGGGCTCGGTCTCTAGCTCCTCCGCTGCTCCGTCTACACCCTCTGCGAAGTGCCCTGCTCGCAACGCCAAGCGCTCCCTTCGCCTCAACCAGAAGCGTGAGGCTGCTCCTGAGCCTGTTGCCAATGTGGCGGCGATCCGCCACCACGCTCACCGCGCCAGCCACTAAAGTGCTACACGTCACTGGTGTTCCTCGGCTGCCCTAGCTCTGAAGTCTTGGACCTGTACTGGCTGTCTATTTGAGCTCTCCTCCCTCCCCTACTGAGTTTTGAGTGGCTGTTGTCCGCACGCACTTTATATCCACTTCTCCGTGCGGTGCGTTGGTTCAGTGTTTTGTAACCCCTGCCCTTATTTGTATACGCGGTGCCCTGGTATGGGAGCGAGGCTAGTCTTGTCTGCCCTGGTACTGCCACACAGGCATAGCTGTCCTCGAGCCCGTGCCTGTGCGTTTTTATTGCCCGGTTGTGCGTACCATGATGTCTGTAAACCTCCCCTGCAACTTACGTAGGGACCGCTGTCGGTCCTGTGTTGTTTGAATGATACCCTTACAACTTACTCTATAGTGATCTTGGTAGGGCTCAAATCATCGGCGACACTGCCGTTTCCTACCAAACCGAGATAGAGACGAGGCGAGCACGATCACGGGCTCAAGGTTTATATAGCACATCGGTTCATGCGAATACATGCAACATGATCAGTAGTTATGCAACATTTACTAGGATGCAACTGCCCTCAAGCGTGTACCTCGAGAATGATGTCGTCGTCAGTCCCCGACTCGCTATCATCATCCCCGTCTCCCTCTTCAACGCCCTCTCCATCGTGACGATCTGCGTTCTTGGTCTCTCCGTCGGTTTGTGCGTCGACGTCGACAGGATTCTCGCCGCCCTTCGAGCCTTCTGCTTCAGGCTGAGCCTGGGGTTCATCGTCGGCATGTTCTGCGTCCTCTGAGATGGCGGGTAAGGTTGGTTTGCTCTCGCCGCCACTCAGTGCTACGGCAGGACTGCCAGACTTGTCCTTGACTGTCTCGGGCAGACCGCCTTCCTCGCTGAGGAGAGGCACGCCCGAAGTGAACGACTCGTTCAAGGAGCTGACGGTCGAGAGCGCCATGTCCAGCACCGTCTCCACGCGTCTTTTGAGCTGTTCACTCGTGCTCTCAACGGTCTAGGTATACACGACCGGTCAGAAATTAATGAAGGAAGGAGCGGGGCGTGTACTGACCAGTGTGACCAGGTTGATGAGCGCGTCTGCCTCGTCGAGGCGGACGAGGAGCGCTGCCTCGTGGCTGTCCTCACCTTGCTCTTGCTCCTGCTCGTCTCCGTCCTCGGGCATGTGCAGCTCGACCTCACCGAAGTGTGCCTCGAGGAACATCGCGAGGCGGCGGATGCGTGTCACGGGGCCGGTCTCGTCCTCGATGTCCGCGTGCGGATGCGGGTGCTCTGGGGCGTGTGAGTGGGAGTGAGGATGGGTCGTCACTGGGGGAGAGTTAGCTGCGGCCGAGACTAACTGGGGGAGAACGTACGCTTGACGGAGGCGGGGCTCTTGTCGATGCCGGTGATCAGGGCGAGCGTAGAGTCCGCGATCATGTCGTTGCTGGCACTGGAGTCCCATTCCAGGATCAACTCGTGCTCCTGTGCCTGTTTGACGTCTACGGCGCCCATGACCTGCGCATGCGTCAGACTGCCGTACATGAGTTGGGGACATCACAACTTACTCGGATGGTGGGTACACCATCCTTGTCCAAGCCCTCTTCCACCTTGCCGAACATGCCTTCCAAGTGCCACCGGACGAGCTCCCAACCAACGGTCAGCACCATCTTCTGTCTTTGCGTGACGATATTTGTTGACAGGCCGGTGAAGTCGCGGAGGTCCCGCGGGTCGAGAAGTGTGTAAGAGTAGTCCTTGGCAACGAGCAAACCGGAGAGCAGGTCCCCTGGTTGTGGTGGTTGGGCGGCCAAGTGGCCGATTGCCTGAATACCGGCATGGTTCAGCGACGTAGACAAGACCACTGTGCGCAACTTACCTTCGCCACACGTTCACCTCGGAACGTGAGCTCAAGGGTCTCCAGGTTCCGTGGAGTATGAATCTTGACATCTTCGTCCCGGCTCTTGTATCGATCTGTCATCGCCGCACGCAGACGGCCCATCGCAGTCTGTTCTCCATGTACGAGGACCTAGCGAATACATGAATGACGGTAGCATTCAATGCGAACAGATAACTCACTATATGCTGCGCCTTGACCATCTCGATGAACTCTGAGTTCTGCGAGTAGTCGACATGGGCACTGAAGGAGATCTCATCCACGGAGAGCTTGCGAGGGATCGGGGCGCCCTTGGCGGGCATGATCTCTTCCGGTTCACTTTGGATTTCCTAACGAGCACGAGTTGTAAACGTAGTGTCCTCACGAATTCCACCAAAGCAAGATGATACATTGATTGCAAGCCATATAGATACAATAGCCAGGGCCCGTACATGCAATGCGCCACGGAAGATAGCCACTCACCCTCGCCATTGTCCCTTCTATCGAATAGCCTGTGACGATGACGCCGTTCCTCGAGTCTGGCGCCCAGAGTTCCAGCAGTTCCCGGCTAGGCCCCGAGTCCATGAATCCTGGACTTGCCAACACTACGCACGGCGGTCCCTCGGCGACTTTGCGCTCCCAGCCTCGACTGTGTGGTACATTGGATATATATCTGGAGCAACGTCAGAGCGAGTGAACGGGATGCCGTAGTCGACGCACTTGAAGACAAAGGGATTGTCTCTCTTTGCGAACCGCGATCGCACATTGGAATTCATTGTGTGGATGTAGGTCTGGTAGACAGCCATAGATTTTCGCGCTAGATTCGAAGCATAGTACACAGGGACGTTGTGCAGGTCAGGGTGCTTCTTCCAATATTCGTCCAAGATGAGCAGCAGTTCTTGTGCGCGTCCTACAGCGAATGTCGGCAATAGGACATGACCGCCTCTACGGATGATATTGTGAACCAGACTTGTGAATCTTGCTTCCTTTTCTTCCCTGCCCTCCAGTGTTTGTACGCCATACGTACTCTCGATAATAAGGACATCGGGGTGTATTGGAGGCACTTCCGCCTTCACAAGATGCCTGTCCTCTTCGCGAGAGTAGTCGCCGGTGTACAGGATCTTGAGACCAGCAATGTCTATGAGAAACATGCAAGCGCCGAGGACATGGCCGGCGTGGTACGGGGTGAAGGTCACCCCTGGACAAGGCGTGATGACTTGGTGAGCGGACACAGGGATGATGGACGACATAGACATTGAGAGGTCAAGAGGAGAGAACAGGGCATCGGACGTTGACGAGCTGCTAAACTCTTCATTCAAAACTCCCGAAGACATCCCAGAAAGCTGCGTACCTCATTCGTACGAAGTCTTGCATCATGAATTTGTGCAGTGCTTTGGTGGGATGCGTCATGTATACCTTGCCTTTGCCATCCCGGAAATTCGTCTGTGACATAGGTCAGTCTGTTTGTTCACCAGCTTTGAGGCACTGTAGCACTAGCCTTCTCCGTGATGTATGTGAGGGCGGCGGCGTGATCCAGATGAAAACTACGAGAGCCCTTTAACTTCTCTTACAACGGTGAGAATATAACATACGTACTGAGTGATTAGCAGTACGTCTACAGTGCTCCAATCTAGTTCGTCAACGAATGGTAGGGATGCGATGCCACTGTAGGCGGGGTGAACGCCTGCGTCGCATACTATTGTCTTGCCACGGTACTGAATGACGCAGCAGGACCGGCCGACCTCCTGCCCAGCACCGAGAAGAGTGATTTTGAGCGTTGGTACATCTGCCATTCGCGGAAAGGAAAGGTCTTGAGGCTTAGCACGAAGGAGATGGGCAAGGGTCAGCAGTGGTGGTGGACTTCGCTGCGGCGATGGCGCGGGCACTCGACCGATCCTGTAGCGGGCACGTGCGGGAGGAGGACCCAACTCCTCAGGCGATGTTCAGGAAAACGAGTACTCAGGCCTTAATCAAACCGTTCACGTTCATTCTCCTCTGACAGTATTCAGTGGGTCAAGTTGGTCTCAATTGTGAGGAGGTACGTACCGGCCTCGCTCGCACTGATGGAGTACTAATGACTACGGTTAGTCGGGCTGCTGAGGGGCGAACTATGTCGAAGACTTCCAGGCGTGGTAGCTCTGGCACCACGAAGCCTACAAAATATCGCGACGCACGACGTCCACTCGTAGAGCAGTCAGCCCATAGGAGAGCCAAGTCCCAAAGTGTGAAAAAGCATATTTCCAAGGCTCGCTTGGAAGAGGTCACCGCCGAACTCGATAGCCAAGTGACGCACGTACAGACATTATACACGGTACGTCGACCTTTTGCCCTATGGACTCAACATTCACAACGATGGCAGACTCAAGTGAAGGGGAAGGAAACACCAGCTAGTAATGAAAATGACACAGTCGAAGGCTTGGGCGACATTTTGCGGGCACTCTGATCAGATGCTTCCTCGGCCGGTGGCTCAAGGCTCAGACACATACGCCTCAGTCAATCACTATCGGTCGTTCTACGCGGAAGGGTCAACAACCTGTGTAGGCTGTCTGTACTTCAAGCTTCAGTATTGGCATCCTTGCTCTTGGGTGAAGCAGACCAACGGCGACGGGACTACCAAAGTCAATATTGCAACACTCCAACTTGTGTCATTGCAGAAGTTGCAGATAACCTCGATGTATTGTAACCAAAGCACACGAGTACCAGTACACGTTCGTAGGCGGAGAAGCAATACCCGGCGAGTAGGAGAAAACAGTCTAGAGCTACGATCGGGTCGTAGGCTTCTTCAGGATCTAGTCGTACAACTACTGGAGTTGGGGTGCACCTGAAGGCCGAAATGAATGAAGCAATAAACAGTAGCAAATGGAATCGTAAGGAACAGAGCAGAGGAGGCTTCAAAGCCTGGGTGTCTGTCAATAAGTCTTGCGCATTCCGTATGCCGAGAGGGCATACGGAACCCGGTCAGTCGTAGAAACATCTCGAAGTCGTCAGGAGTCATGAAATGGTTCAGTGCAAGTCTTCCCAGTTCGGCCGCGCTTGTCCTATGGAGAGCTTGCCCTTCTCTTTGCGCTGCCTGAGGTTCTTCACCTCGGTATTGATGAGGTCACGTAGGCGCTCGAGATCGAGACTTCGCTCAGCACGCGAACCCATGAGCAAGTTGCGCCAAATGCCGGCTGCCGCGACTGAGTTGTCGATGGAAAGCTGCATGGGACGGTGAAGGCGAACCATCTTCTGCATGAGATGGTCCGGGCTCGGGTATATGGCATCCGGCCAAGCAATGCGAATCGCGAACCACCATCCTAGGGGCTGAGCACAGCTATCAGACGAGAGGAATATGTGGTAGCTGGGACAGTACTCACGCGGCCATCTGGCAGACATCGCTCAGGATATGTATCATAGGTAGTGAGAGACCCATCTGGGAGAGAGAAGCTGTTTGATAATGAAGAAGCCACGTCAACAGTTATCTTTTCACACAAGAGGATTCACGTACCGATGGACGACCCAATGGCTCTCATCATTCCGATGCTTAGCAAGGACGATGAGCAAGCGTGGGATCCCCTCAAGCCCGAAGGGAGCCCATAGGTCCCTGAGCATTCCACAGGCATCGCCATGTCGTCCATTATAGACGGCGGCACTAATAGCATCTGCCATGTTGGGCGGAACAAAGAGGCGGTCGACCCGCCCGGGAGGGCTGTCCGTCATCTTAGCCCTCACATAGCGTTTATACGTCTGCGTCGACCAGATGCTGAGCGCCACCTCATCCACCTGCATCCCCCGCATCGTACTGTTGACCGCGTTGTCCAGTTCAGACGTCCGCCAGACGATTGCCCAGTTCAGTAGGCGCTGGTGAATCCGCTGCCACGGTGGTGGCAGGCTACGCTCATTCGCGTAATCTCCAGGCTGCCAAAGCTGATGGTCGGGCATGTTGCTGCCGTCCTGAGGGAGAGGTGGGAGCGGAGGCGACCCTCGGCGGTCAGTGTAGCCTCCCGTGTTCCCGTCGGGTATTTCAGGCAGGCCGGACTCTGTGACGGCTGCCTGCGCATCGCCATCGTCATAGTCTTCGCCGTCGTCTCGTGCAACCTCCCATGTCTTGTGCGTGGCCACCGACTGGCTACCGTTCGGCCGCTCTCGCAGCTTGTAGAACTGCTCCTCGAGGTACTGCTGGCCCGGAGAATCGGTGCGGTCATTCGGCATGTATTCGCTGCCCATGCCACGAGTCTGATCGTCGGTGGGCGCCAAATGGTGACCCTGCAGATCGTCATCATCGTCATAGACGTCCTCTTCCGGGATGGCATCATGCAGGGACCCGTCATGATGGTGCATAGACCCAGGCAGCGTATGGAGGTTCGTCGAAGTGCGCAACTCCGTGTCCACAGGCTGATACATGGATTCGTCGCCCATCGTCGTCGCCATGTTCACAGTCTGGGTCATTGGACTCTGGGCGTAGCCACCCGCCTGCGAGCCATAAGCAGGATAGCCTCTTCGGTCGGTGACGTATGATTCGCCCTGAGAAGATCGCAAGCTCCGCTCAATCTTCGGTGCGAGGCTATCAAGGCGTTCACGCATGTTTATCATGCCGTCGATGAGATCCTTCGCCCACTCCGGAGGGTCGGCGGCGGTGCCGATCTGCGTGGACCGTTTCGACGAAGGCTGAGCTTGGAGAGCAGCCATAAGATGCACGCTTGGGTCGTGGTCGTGATAGGACTTGCGGTACTGCCTGATCGACTGCACAGGCACAACATAAGCGATACTCATAAAGAACACAGAAACGGTAGACCTGCCTCGTTGTCGTGCTTCATGCCGAGCTTCTTGACTCTTGCCCGTACAGCCTTCCTAACGGCCTTCTTGACTGGCTCTCCCATAGGTTGATCCAGCGCGTTCAGCAGTTGGCAGAGCTCCATATCATGGAAGTGCGAATGCTGAATCTCCGGCTCCAAGGCTGACGGTGCTACCGTCGACAGCGCATAAGACGTACGAGAACGCGGCTGCGGGCCCGTCAGGACGTTGTTCACCATTCTCTGCTCGTCCGCGTTCAGATCATCCATAGGCGAAGCAGGACGTGAAGGGGTGGGGGTCGCCTGTGGGTCGTTGGCAACGGAGCGCTTCGATCGCGTGGGAGACATGGCGGCGGCAGCTCGTTGCAACTCTTCGTATGCACTGCGTTGAGCTGACATGGGCGCAGCCTGAGAGCGCGGTGACAAAGGTGCAGCCTGAGAGCGAGGCGACATGGGGGCTTGAGAGCGACCTGATATCATGGCGCGTGTTTAGCTATCATTCACTGTCGTCATAGCGTTATCAACACACCTCGTTGAGAAGTCGCATACTGTTCGCCGCCATTAGCCTGCGATGCGCTCTTCACAGACTTCGGAGGCTTCTGCGACGGGTCCCGAGTAGCAGCCTTCGCAGTCCGTTTCGAGAGCGCCTCTGTGACAGAATCGGACGGCGCAAGCGACGGAGACTTATTCGTGTGACGGTCGACCGGAGACGGTGCTCTTTGGGTGTGGACCTTGGACAGATTCTCCTCAAGGACGGACTCAGGTAAAGGCGGATAGGCCGTGCGGTTTGTCTTTTGCGTATTGCGTGACTTGAGCGACTGCCCTTGGGAAGCTGCTGTCCGAGGTGACCACGGCCGCTCGCCACCGCCGCCCGTTCGAGTAGGTGACAATGCCCGCGACACAGATTTTGGCGACACCATCTGCAAGGACGTTAGCAGGAAAGACGCAAAACGGTGTGGCGCTTACCCCGGCCATGTCGACGTTGGATGGAGACTTGTGTGAGGCCCTAGAACCGTTGTGCCTCATTCGGGATGCCGTTGGGCTGGAAGGGATGTCAGCTACCGAGGCCGGAAGTGGAACGGCTGCGGCTGCGGCTGTCGCCGGCGTCATGCCAAATTGCTAACATAGAAGGATTGAGGTGGTGGGTCTCGACAGAACCTACGGAACACGTGCCTGGAATGGGTTCGGATGGCTGCTACTCGGAGAGCCGGGTACTTGTACGGGTGGTTTGGGAGGGGTGTTCTGATAGGAGTCGGAATGGGTTTGTACT